TTCTCCAGTTTTCGACATTCGATTCCGTATTATATATGACAATATTCGTGATGAAAATCAAGCTGGATTGCATATGTCTTCATCTACGTGTTTCTAGTTTTCCCATTAAGTAGAATGTTTGTAATATTCTCCAGTTTTCGGCATTCGATTCCGTATTATATATGACAAATATTCGTGATGAAAATCAAGCTAGATTGCATATGTCTTCATCTACGTGTTTCTAATTTTCCCATTAAGTAGAATGTTTGTAATATTCTCCAGTTTTCGACATTCAATTCCGTATTTTTACTATTACTTACTTTAATTAATTTTTAACAACTGTGTATATACTGGAACAATCAATGTAAAATATTAACCATCTGATATTTTTCCATCAGCGTACTTTTATTCCTCTTTCAAATTGTGTCGTTTTGTTATGTTTGTATTTATCAGAACTTATATTAAAGAATTTTTAACATTTATTGTAACAATTTTGTTTTAATTTCTGAGTAAAAATAAGAACATGTACGACAACTACGAGTTATTGTTGCTGCTTACTTGTTAAACTTTTGTAAATGTTTTAATAAGAAATAAACTTTCTATTATGAATGTAATATCAACATTGTAGATATACTTAAACAAAGCCAATTTACCCAAAACAGGCAAAATTTCTCCACCTACACTTTTTGCCAGCAACTAAGGAAAAAAGATGTGTTACTTGTTCTTACACGGAACTTCAGAAGCATTGACCTAAAAGACGAGTTTACACTTTATTAACTTAGGCATTTCACGCTTTAGCATTATTCCATGTATACATCTATAGTGTATAGATGTATGTATTTTTATTTCCTTGTATCATTTGTTACTTCTACAGCTGTTCTTATGTTAAAACCTGCAGAAAAACCAATTTTCCATCATTATCATCAGCTGATGTTCGTGTTTTTAACCAGGCAGATCGCTTCACCAGTCATATGATCATTATATCACATTGTAATTAATTTCCCCTTCGAGTATATTTTTTGCTTCAAAGAACATTTCTATTAGCAAGGTAATTGTTTAAATTTAATGGTTAAAAGTAACATAATTATTGTCTTCCTTCAATTCTAGACGCCTGAAAAACATAGTGTGTTTAGTTTACGAGTTACATTTGTAACTGTTAATTGTAAAAATTGTCAAGATCCAAAACAAAAATTAAATTTCTGAACACAGTCCAACGACATAAAATTCTTTCCTGATGTGATGGTTTATTATTGTGTTTTCCTGTAGTATTTCACGCTTCTTTGGAATCTAGTTAGCCGCCACCGACTTCAATATTCCACAAAAACGATAATCGCTTTCGTTAAAGTAAACTCTCATGAAGACAAAACTATCAATTGTTTGACTTAGCTTTTTTAAATTTAAGTTTTGGTTGACTTACAGCTTCATCTTTGTGTGTGTGTGTCGTTATATCAAAGCCACAATGGGCTATCTGCTGTGTTCACTGGGGAGGGGGGGATCGAATCACTGATTTTAACGTTGTAAATCAGAAGACTTACTGCTATTCCACCGGGGGACATAGCTTTATCTAAACGATTCCATAATACATTTTACTTTGTCCTTCAGAATGACTAACATTTTATGTATAACAGTTTGAATATATGTATAGCATAGTTCACGATTTACATGTATGTAATAGTTTAACTTACAATCTACCTAGTCCTGAAAAGGACTGTTTTTCTTATTAACTTAGAGCATTCAAACTCTAGATATTTATTCTATGAATCACTCTAAATAAATACAAGTACAATATATCCAAACGAAAATTATTTTTATAGATAGTGTTTGAACTTGTATTTTTCAATCGGTCACCATCTTTATATCCCATTTTTAAGTCCTTTTGATTTTACCCTTTGGATAACCCTAATAGGAAATAATCTATTCCAACTAAATAGTTCCAAAGTATAACGTTTTTCTTAACATATAAATTATAAGTGTGTAACATTTATCCTTTTAAGGATAACGATAATCTAAATGTTCGACTTTCACCACAACAATTCCAGTCACAAATGTAATACTTCTTAAAGCAGTGTTTCTTAACGAATATCCACCACTGTACATTTGACCTTTATTCCGGGAATGGTGACACGTTTTGAAACATGGGCATTTGCCATTGACCCCAGACTGACCTGTATCCCTAAGCAATAGTGTAATCTAGGTTAGTTCAGAATAGATAGAAAGTTATTTATTCTGACTAGAATTGTCTAAATGTAACGTTTTTTCTTAGCATATAAATTATAAGCATATACATTTTTTATGAATTTATAAATGTATGACTTTTCATGTTTTAATTCCATCTGCAAATGGATTTTTTTGCACTGTACAAATTTACAAATTCTAAACATGAGTTCCATATAATCCAAATGAGATTATTTATTTTGATATAGGACAAAAACAAATTTGGTTTTTATTATTTCAAAAGTATCGTGGCGTTTTACTTCATACCTCGCAAAGC